GGTCATGGGGGATGTGCCCTAGAAGGTGTTTGTGGAACCCTGGTGTCTTCCTCTTCCTCTCCTGCACTGTCCAGCCACCAGGAGCCCAAAAGCAATGGGTCCACAACCATGTACTGAAACCTCCAAACTGTGGACCAAAATAAACCTCTCCTCTGCATAAGCTGATTGTCTCAGGTATCTTGTTACAGTCATGGAATTGGCCTCACACACCCATTGAATATGAAATTTTCTATTTCGCCGGATGGAAAAAACACTATTCCTGGCCCCCCACAAATGCCAAGTTCTAATCCCTCTGATCCTTTCAGGTGGTTCTTTCTCAGGAGAGAAAACTCCTTTTATACACAGCAGACCCATACTCTACCTACACGTAGGGGCCTTCTGTGAGTTCTCTGTGTTGCCTCCCTGTGCAGCTGGCCTGCACTTAGCTCTCACCACCCTGGTCCTCCTAGACTTTCTAGCTCTATCTCAACTAAGGGACTCCGCCGGCTTCTGTGTGCCACAGCCTGGAAGCTCTCCAAACAAAAGAAGCTGCGGCTCTCCTCGGGAATCACTGTCCTTCTGTCTCATTTCCTACATTTTGAAAACTCTTGTTTCACGTAAGCTATCTTTTATTGTTGCAGGAAAGGAAATCTGTTTCTCCATTTGGGTTAGAAGCAGAAGTCTCCTTTTTATTCTTCAACTAGATTGTTATTTTTTTTCCCTTGGGTACTGGGGATTGAACTCAGGGGCACTCGACCACTGAGCCACGCCCCCAGCCCTATTTTGCATTTTGTTTAGACACAGGGTCTGAGTTGCTTAGTGCCTTGCTTTTGCTGGCTTTAAACTTTCGATCCTCCTGCCTCAGCCTCCCGAGCTGCTGGGATTACAGGTATGCGCCACCGTGCCTGGCTTCAATTAGATTTTATAATTTTCTTCACATAAATCCTATGTTTTTCTCATTAAGTTTATACTAAATATGATTTTTGTTAATAGCATAACTAGACTATTTCCTTGGTCTCTTTTGTAGTCATCTATTTCTAGAGAAAAAAACTATGGGTATTGCATTTAATCATTTAATCTGCTGACATCAATCCTGAAATTAAACCATGCAGAGGTCATAAATTTATTCAACAGTAACAGTAATCTCCCTCTGAGCTGCCAGGGAGGGCGCCCAGGGTCTGCAGGCCTCCACAAGCGCTCCGCCCTGGGCGCCACGCCCCTTTCTAAACTCTGAAGTGTCCGCTACTAACAGAAGTGGCCAGCATTTGYGGGAGGGAGTGCATGTGTCTGTTACCACACACCGAAGTGTACATAGGAAAGTGACCGGTAGATGTTTAAGGCTAGAGCAGAAGCTGAGCAATGCAAACATGGACCATCTCATCCTCCTCTGCACATTCTTGTCTTTATGCTTATTACTTCATGGCACAAAATGGCTGCCACAACTCCAGGCCTCATATATGTGAACCAAGCAGGAAGAAGAAATGGGAAAGAAGGAAGAGGAAAGCAGGAACCAGCTTTCCCAAATCAAAAAAATAAAAAAAAAAAAAAAAATCAGGAAAGCAAAAGATTTCTCAAAATAAAATTTCATTTATTAGCCAGAACTAATGACATATGAACACCTACCACAACAAGTCAGTCTGGGAAAGCAAGTGTTTAACTGGAAATATTACCACAAATTCACAGTTTCAGGGCTCTCTTGGTGATAAAGGAGAAATAACACTGGGCAGGATACTGACGTGCTCTATGAACTAGTCTTATGTTCTTGGAATGAACCTGAGTCATGGTGAACTGGTTGTTTTTCTGGTACTGCAGAGGGAACCTGGGGTACTCTGTGACTGAGCCACATCCCCAGGCCTTTTATTATTTTTTTTTTTAATAAAAGCTGCCCTCAAACTTTGGATCCTCCTGCCTTGGCCTCCTGAGTAGCTGGGATTTCCAGCTCGCACCACCACACCCGTCTCTTTTAAATACATACCACGTTCTATTTGACAATATTTTGAAAGCTTTTTTTTAAAAATACCTTT